ATTTGCAGCAGCTCAGCCTCCAGTTTACGCTGGAAAGGAAACAAAGGGTAAGAACTTGCCTGTGGAATTAATCTGAAGAACTGGGCAGAGCTTAGAGCTACACATAGAAAGACTCAGAACAGTATTTTCAGGTATATCCGTATGATAAACATCCTTATGCCCTCCTTACCCAGTAGGTAAGTTGTTCATATGGAAAATTATGAACAATAAATGGGTCTCTGCAGTAATTCAGGACTGCTTTGCCATGTTATAAATGAAAAACTAACTGTACTTCAGGTGAATCTTCCAGCTTAAAATACTTGCTTTCACATTGTACACCCTGTAGGTGTATATACACACACACAAATGACATTCTTTCATACAGAAATCCCATGGTTCAAAGGAAGGGAGGGATACCACCCTCCTGTGCACCCCAAATCTTATTTTGTTAATTAAAAAAAGGGAACAAATTTCTCATTCCGGTCTCTTAATTTTTCTGCACCTCCATGTCCACTGACTGTCCTGGCAGGGCTCTGTTGTTAACATGTTTGTTTGTAAAACACAGGCATGTGCCTGGTCAGAGCTGGGTGATTCCACTAGATTCCCTTATATGCATTTAACTTCCAATGAAAAGTGTTAGAATAGGGATGATTTACTGTAATAAAGAATCATTACAAACAGGACTACAAGTCATAAGCCACCTGAAAGTCCCAACTCTACCTGTCCTCATAAAACAGGAGAGTCACCCTACAGACAGAAGGGTTCTGAATAATGAAGAGATGGCAATAATATGAAGATATCCTAGGGAACAGAATACAGTTTAACATGATTCTCAAGAACAAAATGGCAGAGAAGGTGAAGTCTCACATCTTGCAACTCCCCGAAAGCCCAGAGATGAGCTGCTGGAGCGTGCAGAGCATTAACACCCAACACGAACAGTCACGTATGAGATCAAGTGATGCGAGACTTGGACCACAGCCCAGCACCCTTATGTTTTAGCTGCCTTCACAGAATTTATCTTTACCTGATGAACCATCAAGGACTGAACCTGGCGTTTAAGAACTTGCATCCTGGCTGTGGTGACAACGGAGCGGACATCGGGGACGACGCTTTCGCTTAGGATCTCACTGATGAGCCGGTGGTTCCTCTGGAACCGAGCGGTCGCCGTGTGCTTCATGGAGAACCCGTCATCGTAGTCTGGAACGAGGAGAAGAGCAGCTGCTTCAATTCCATAACATGGGGACCAAGCCCAGTGACACTGTACCCACAATACCCCTCATTTAAAAACAAAGCCAGTTGCTGCCACATCACAAAGTTGATGCTGACAAATATCATTGGATGATCAGACGAGACAATACAAGGCCAAGACGCCCTCACCCAGTGCAGCTCCATCACCAATAGATGTTACATGCCTTTCCCACATGTCTGAAATTTGGACTGATCTAGTTATTTACTGTGCTGCTTTCCACTTTTCCAGAGCAAGAGGGACTTAATGCACCAAATAAAACAACCCATTCCCAGTTATCGCGGTACCAGAACAAGATCCAACGCAAAAGCCCAACAGGAGTTGACTCCTATACAAACAAATGTTGTAGCATAAATCAAAGAGATTTATTATTTGAAATCCTGAAGAATGAAATCTTGAAGCAGTGAGACATGTTTATGCATCACTGAAAATTCAGAATAATGTATTAATATCCAATTTTTGTAACTTTTTTTGGTAAATAGTTCTCTAAAAAACAGTTACTGAAAAAAACACACTTCAGGAGAAAAAGCACACAAGCACATAGTTCAGGTGCTGGCGTACTTAGAAGCTGCTTGCAGAGAAAATACATTTTAAGCCAAACAGGAACTAAACTGTCTTGTCTGACAGGGATCTAAAGGATTAACTACAAAGTTCTAAGAATATTTCAGGTCCAGTATTTGTTTTTTTCTCTCTAGCCAAGTTAAAAATGCTTCCAGTTTACAGCAAGACACTGAACTTTGACAATTTTAATCTAGTGACAGATTTTAACGTTAACAACAGCATTATGAATTGTACTAGGCACTCATTTTAAAAGTAAAATTCAGTTTGATGCCACAAAGCAGAACAAAAGAACATGTCTTTCCATATCTAGTAGCATGCAAAGGCTTCCAGCCCATAGAGGACAGAAATCTTCCTATGCTGTGACTTTCTATATTTCTTCAAGGAAAGCAGACAAAGCCTTTCAACAGAATGAAATCAAACCAGTGTCTGCAGATTTGGAATCAAGAACCTAGCTACAAAACAGACACACAAACCTCAAGCCAAACTAATTAAAATCTAAAGCACAGTAATTAAATAGCATTAAGTACTGGTGAAGAAACAAACTTGAAGAAACCTCTGTGAGTATAATTCATATTTAGTTGAGTATTAAGATGTTAAGCAAAAAGTATGAACTATCTTCTGGAATGATGTCAAGTAGAAAAGACCAGAAGTCGAGTTTATTTTACATCAAGTTTTCCTGATGGAGATTAGTATCCAACTATTCTCAGAAATCCTAAAGAGGACCCTAACATACCATTGCCAGGGAATATTACCAAAGAAGATAACTAGTTTAACAAAAGTTTTCATCTGCTTTATTTAAAAGTGTTTGGTTCAACTGCTCATTGAGGTCCCTGATTAAACAAAGAGAGAAAACCAGTGAGCAGAGGATAGATTTGTGAGAGCAAGTACTAATCCAATTGATCTCCTTAAAGTTGTGCCTTTGTCATCTTGGCAAGATTCCTTTTATGCTACAAATTCTGGATCCTCCTGACATGTAGGCTGGGACAGAAGCAGCATTTCTGTCCCTAAAAACTTGCTGTTATGCCCCAGGTGTGACCAGCAGCAACTTGGGGCTCCTGCAGCCACTTCTGGCCCAGGGGGCACAGAGCAGCTGAAGTCCCCAGGCTGGTGCTCCTGGAGCACTCCATGTATTTACATACATTCTGCAGTCGCCTCACAGTGGGAAAAGTGCTGTTTGCCATGAGCTTTATCTCAGGGGTGTGCTTTTGTAAGGGGGAAGAAAAAAAAGGGTGTAACTAAGTACATTTTTAATCCTCAGGTTTCAACAAGTACTTGGTCATGAATTCAAAAGCAGACATCAGGTGTACAAGGCTGGGTTTTCCCACTGGGTGGGGTGCCTTCCCTTGCAGTCAAATAAACTTGCAGAATTTTCTCATCAACTTGTCAACGGCAAAGGTAACTTCTTTCCTAAACAATCTAAAGTGACAGTTGCTGATTACATTCAAAGTTCAAGTGCTCTCAATCATACCAGAACTCTGCCTGTCAGAATTATGGGCATCTGGTAATAAAGCACAAAATTCCATTCAAGCTGGACTAAATCAGGCATCAAAGCCATTCATAATGCACACGTTAAAGCCATTAACAGAACTCTAAGACTTATTTGAACAGCATTGCTTCACACATCATTAAGGATTGGAATGACTTTTGCCAGTGGTTTGCCACCTGAGGTTTTGGAAACGAGACCAAGACATCTGTCAGCTGTAGGAAATAGAGGGAAAATCAGAGCTAAAGGTGCCAGGACAGCAAGGCACCTGAGTCATGTGAGGCATTGAGTCATGCACTGCTGGTTCTCCTTGTCTGATTGATGTCAGCTCCTCTCTCCTGTCAGTCTGTAAGGAGCCTGTGGCCCTGCTGGGCGTACTCCTGCCATCTTACCATCGGGGTCCTCTGCGGGCTGGATGCTCATGTAGGGCTCCCCCTTCTCCATGCGCGACTGCCGCTGCCTGCTCTCCTCCTCCAGCGCCGCCTCGGCGCGGCTCTTGGCGTTGATGTAGGCCAGGTATGCTGGGGAGTTGTGGTAGGCCTTCATGGACTCATTGTACTCTATCTGAAATGTGACCAATATGGTTTGAGTGCACCATGGGATGGCTTCAGACTTGACACAACCGCTGCCTGTGCAAGTCAGACTGTAGCTACACAGGCACAGCTATTCTCAGTCAGCTGGCTGACACACTGACCATATTCTCTCAGTCTTTAAGAATTACAACTACTTCCTCAGTCATTCATGTTTTCAAAACACTAGCTGGGCTTTGATTCTGATTTCTTCTCTTTCCTCATGCCAGTATGTCATGAACCAGTTTTCAAAACAACCTATGATTTTTCCAGCCTTTGATCCATCCCTGCACTGGGATGATACAGAATGCTGCAGCCAGACTACTGTCTCCTCCTGGTAGCAGGACTGCATCTCTATTTTCACCTTCTTTGAAGTATTTTTCCTTTTGAATTGCTTTCTTTAATCTCACTTTTAAAATTTGCCAGGTCTAGATTCTGTAAAGTGATTTGAGGTATTTCCAATGAAAAGTGAGATATAATCTACAATATTGTTAAAAGTACCTAAATGTCTTGTTTTCTTTATACTGAGGACTGGAATCCTTCTACCTAGGCACTGTAAAAACAAACAAGATGGCCCCTGCCCCAAGGAGCTTACAATCTAAACATCATTACCAAGTTAAAAAATATAATTCCTTGTTTTCTTTTCCCCCAACTAAGAGCATCCAGCTTTGAAGTGCTTCTCTATTGGCTTGGAATAAAACCAGCTTGGATTTGACCAGGTTATACACAGCCTCAGATGCCTACCAGGTTTAAACACATCACAGCAGCTGGACAATTTTACCTTTATAGGTTAAGATCACAGTAACAGTCTTGTAAAGGTCCTCAGCACTTACCAGCCTAGACACCAGGTAGCTGTCATCTTTTGTCATGAAGGTCAATAAAACCAAAACCACAAGAAAACCCTAAAAGTGGTAGCATTTTTCTATTAAGAAACAAAACACTATGTCATAGCGTGGAGTTACACCAGATCACACCATGAAAACCAAACCCTACGTGACTGGAAGTCTTTTATGAACATGTTCATGACAACAGCAGTAGTTGCAGAGCACCAGTTTTGAAAGAGGATTTTTGGTGTTGAGACAATCTTTTCAATACTGATGTTGTACAATCAAATCCATTCATTAATCAGTTAAAATCGACACTCAATTATAAATACTTCATTTGGAATTAGGTCTAAAAACTGACCAGTCACAGTTGATGTAAAGTTATTTTAAAAAAAAATCTAAAAGACGTGTCAGGACACACTTCCATTTAAGTTACATACAGGGGTCTCGTGAGTGCCTCATACACCACTGCATGGGTAAGATGAATTTTTCTTCTCAGACCAGTTCCTAGAAGAATCAGCTGTAATAAACATCCCAGATTTCTTCCATTTACCTTTTCAGCTTCATATTCATTCAAATACTCTTGCTTCTCTTCATCAGTGAGATCTCGCCACATTCCTCCAATAATCTTGCCAATTTCCCATAACTTCAAATCAGGATTGGACGCCTTCACTTGGTCCCAGACCTTAACAGAAACAGCTGGAGCTTTACTAATGATATCTAAATACTTCCAAATTAAACATTTTATATTGTCATCTCAGTGTTCTTTCTGGAATCACCATGAAAAACAGGATTAAGTTAGGAATGAGTCTGGCTAAACTATCTCGATTATTTTCTGGGGCAGGAAGTCAGTAGGAAGCCATGTACTGAAACAGGCAATTGCTGAAATGGCTCTGGTTTCATGAGAATATTGCCTTTAACCCTCTTAATTCTCTTCTTAAATGCACATCGCTGCATCTCTGGGAAAAAAAAAAGGCTACTGAGTAAACACATCCAGCAGTAGGTTACGATAAAGAGCACTGAGCTTTTCAGATCAGAATGTAACATTTCAAATATTTTTTTTCAGTCTTGCTGATCAATTTGAGTTCCAACAAGTTCTGACTCCACCAAAAAAGTTTCTAACATTATGGGGAAAAAAAAAAAGGAGAGAGCTGCCAGTGTTATTTCTTGCTGCGCCACTTGACTTTTTTTTTTGTTGATGCTTTTTTGCCTAAGACAGACATGCTGGCAAAGATACTTTACCAGAAGTGGAAGAATTTCCTTCTGGCTCACCCGCTTCAGACAGGCTGACATGCCCTCCCCATGCCCCATCAGATTTCAGACTCCACAAGAGTCTCTCTCCTACTTTCTGTCAAACGGTTCATAGAATAGCGAAGCAAACGTTGCCACAGGCTAGGTTGGTGAAGGAGAACATGCAAAGTCCACTCATTGCTACTCTTCAGTCCAGCTACAGCACTGTACCAAGCCCAGAACACCGCAAGGAATACTTCCTTTACATAAAAAGGTTCTGTCAGTAAAGTCACAGGCACTTCTGAATGTGGCAGGGCGGATCCTTGTCAGCAGAGTGGTAGTAATTATCATTTTAGTTTCCCCCCAGAAATTGGCAACTGCATGAACAGACTACTGCTGCCTTTATCCTGAAGGACAATGCATCTGTACTTTACAATTCCCTTAAAGAATGTGCAGGCTGTTAGAAGTAAAAGTTTAGAAGCTGAAACTAAGATAATAGCAATTAATTGTTAGCACATACGAACACTGACTCTGTTACTTGTTTGACACTGGATACCCACCTTCCGGCTGTACCTCATGTAGGGCATCAGGGGCTTGTCTGGGGGTTTGGGGGGCTTTGGAATGGTAATACCAGAGGAAGCCTATAAAAGAACCGGATAAATCCATTTGTTAATGTGATCACTAGACAGTTTCCACATAGACCAGCTTTGGAAAACACTCATTCTTGTGCAGTTAACACAAAGAACCTACACCCTGATACACCCACCCAAGATAAAACAAGCAACATTGCAAAAAAAGCCTAAACTGTGAAGAGGTGCTAATTACAGCTGCTCTTCACAGTGATATTTTCCTATATAAGTTTGTCCTTCTATCTGTAACTTTAGAGAGTTGTAACTAGATAAATCTTCAAAAGGGCTCCACAGTCTTAAAACTGATCTACACAGCTTAGCAGTTTCCATGGAAACACTAAACCTAGCAGGTTGCTCTTCTCACTTCTGATGAGCAATTTATTGTGTCTGTTTTGACAAGCTTACTGTGGAGACTCTACAGGTAAAAGAGACAAGAAGAATGCTTAAGATAATTAAGTTAGAGATATATTTTCATTTTAAAATAATTTTAGCAATATATTTGTCTGCAAGATTTGTCGGTGGTAATTTAGAGCCAATTGAGCTACCCATTGTAGAAAGGTAACCCCATGCAACTGATCTGTCCCTGTGCGCAGCGTTTGCATCCGAGCTGTACGTAACTCTCCAAACCAGGCTGCAACATCCCTGTGTGCTCTTGTCTCCCTCAGGTTTGTACAGTTAAGCCACTGCTGGCACCAAGCAGGACCCTGAGCACCAAGTGCTGCTGATGGAAAGTTGCTGCATCCCCTTGATCTACAAAAAACCCAAGAGGATTTTCTCCTAAAATGCAGTGACATTCCAGTCCCTGTCAACTGCAGGCTTAGGAAACCTCTGCTCTTCAAGCTCTTGCACAGGTGAGGAGTTATCTTGGATTAAGTGGGAACATTTTCAGAAAAATATGAAGCAGTTTCAAGATCTGTCAGGGCTACAGCCAGAGATAGACAAGTACAGATCTGGCCAAGCAGGCTCATGCTTAGTGTTCAGCTTTCAAACTGGTATTTTTTTCTTTTGCTGTATTTATGGAGCTCTATGAAACAATGCATACAGAACTGTGTATAAATAATGTACATGAGATATATGCATTACCAAAATGTATACAGAGATACACATACAGATGGATTGGAAAAACATTAACGGAAATTGTTTAATGCTTTTAAATTAACAGGAATTTAAAGACACCATACATATATTGATATATGCATGGCTGAGAAGGCTGTATATGCTCATGACATACAGAAACAATGAAAGTTCTCAGACAAAACCCAATTTATTATTGTGTTAGGGAAAAAAGTCTGTGTTCAGATAGTACATTCAGTTAAGTTCCAGCTTGTACAGGAAAGGCCTTTTCTGTGTTTTAACAAACCAGATGAACTTCATCTATGAAGTCTGAAAGACCTGTATGAGAGGTGTAAAAAGGGCACACTTCCTTAAAGCACCATATATTTGCTCCTTGAGAAATCTTTCTTTCCACCACAGTTCCAAACTAATCAGATCAAGCCTATTTATGTGAAAGCAGCTGACACCTCTCTCATCACTTGACTCCATCTCTCACTTTGTTCACTCCATGAAAAATGAATGTAACATCCATTTTCCAAAAGCTGACAGAGTACAATAGACCAGAGAGGATTCTATTTTATTATCATCACACTTTCACTGAAAAAATAAGTTTCTGAACTCAGGACTTTGCAGTAATTACCAGACTAAGACTGGAAAGAAAAATAAGGGTATGGCCCAACAGTATGATGCAACTAACAACAACCTCCACTTGGCAAAATATTCTTCCTTGTATCTGTGTCAACAGACCTCAAAATGAGCAGTTCCCTCCCTCCAGGAATTTGTGCCCACGCTGCAGAAGCTCCCCTAAGCATGCAGTGGTCACTGCAGACCACACAAGTCTGTCCGTGGAGCTCTGCATCATTCCCCAGTACCGCAGTTTTGCCCTGCTGAGTAGAAGTCCGTTCTCCTGCAAAAAGTTTCAGAGTGAAGAGGAAGGGGGTAGGGGTGGGGAGTAAGAATCAGAAGTAACTTTTTGTTCTATAAGGAAGTGGCAGCAGCCAAGACTCAGGAGAACCTGACTCTAAAGCCAATTCT